GGATCAAACTCGGAGCGGACGCCGAACAAACACAGGTTCCTTGATCATCCGGCAGCTGCCTGGGCACTAGGTGAAGGCATTCTGATGCTGGCTGAGGTCTCTAATCAGGAGCCAGTACAGGCGGGGACAGGCAGAGCAGGCAAACATCAGGAGTGGTGTGAGTGTCCCCATGATGACCCAAAAAGGCCTGCGGTGGAGGACTGTTCCTGCCTGTTCACGAAGGGTGCTTACCCTTCTCTCTGGCTGTGTGTTTGGTGGGGGTCAGGAGAGCCTGGAGCCCTGGCATGCCTCAGCTCCTGCGTAAGCTGCAGGCATGGATCCGGGCTGCTGCTGAAGACAGGCTGAAAATGAAGCATCGCCCCGGGGTGCAAACCGTGCTCCGGCAGGAACGCACTGGTTTTTGCAGGGCTGCTCCTGGGGGCTGTGGCTGGTGGGAAAGCAGACACCCTTGAGGAGCGACCCCCAGCATCACCATAACACTAGGGATGCTGAATCACGTATCTGTGGCACGTGCCTGTCCTGTACCCACTACCCGACCTGGCAATGCCCACTCAAAACGCTCTGCGCCCCAACCGAGCCGGGTCAGCACTGCACGGGCGAGCTGCTGCAGAATTGCAACTACACATGTACCTCTAGGAGATGTAATTCTGCCCATGGCGCATTATTGAGATGAATATGATACGAGGCGGAAAGCTGAAGCCTTTCTAGGGGTTGTGCTGGGCCTTTTTTTGTCCCCCCTCCCCAAATGCACTACTGCAGCCACTGGTGACTTCACAGGTAGCAGAAGAGTGAAGTTGGTGTTGGAGGTAAGGGCCTGATGCAGAAGGCACTCCAGAAAGCTTCAAATCGTGGTTACTGCCTTTATTGATATGGAGTTGCTGGATTTTTAACAACATAGTATCGTTTAAAGCCAAAAAAACCCTGCTGTGGGCATGTTGAGCAGTAGAGAGGACTGAGGATGACAAAGGTGACAACGTTTTTCAGGAGGTGTTAAAACATTTTATTTCATTTGAAGTGTTGTGCTATACCCCGGTTTAAATAAAATGCTCGTTCAAAGGCCAAGTTTTATTTTTTGTTTCTGTGAGGGGGTGGTGACTTCAGGGCATTTTCAGTTTTTATCCTTTTAGGTTTTGTTTGGTTTGGGTTTTTTTTCTTCCACTAAAACATGAAGGGTGGGAGGGCGTATGTTCCTCCTGAACTCAGATTGCATCTTTAAAGGGCAAATGGAAAAATCTGTGAGCAGCTCTGCTTTAAAGGCCGGGGTGTAAATGCAATCAAGGGGTGAGAATGGATGCCACGCTCCGTGGCTCACACCAAACCTTTCACGTAACATATCAAGCTGAATGGATCTGGGATTCAAATACTTCTCTTTCAGGTTGCCGCCCAGCCGGGCAAAAGGCAAAGCAACACACCCTGATTCCAACAGGCAAACAATGCGCAGCTTGGGCCCCCGCTCCTCCCTCCCTCTGAAGCAGCTGAGGTGTGGTAGCTGTCAAGGCAAGCTGCAGCGCACGCTTTCTGGGAGGCGGAGGGATGGGAATTTAGGCAAAAGAGCCTCTTGCGGACAAAGCGTTGCTGGTACCAGCAATGCTAGGTCTATTTTTCATGGTTTAGGAGTGGAGGGTGCTTTCAGCATTAGATGGCTTTAGTAATGCATTATTAATATAAGTGCATTTCTGTTGTCTGCTGAGAGGTTGGAAGGGCCCGGATAACTTCTGAAGCTGTAAAGAAAAAAAAAAAAGAAAAGGTTGAATGAATCATAACGTATTCAATCCGTGGAAATTAGGTAGGAGCAAAATGGAAGTTGCTGAGAACGATTTATTCTGGTCAAAACTGTGCGGTTGGACTCTTTCCGAAGCCCGTCGTTCTTCACAGCGTAGCAGAAGGAGCCTGCATGTGCTGGGCTGAGCCTCCCTGCCACTGGGTTCGATCCTCCGCCCTTGGGAGAATATTCTGCTTGCTATGACCCTGGGCCTGATTCATCCTCACTCTTAAAAACCCCAGTTCTCCAAACTAAAATGATTTCAAATTAAAAAAAACCAAACAACAACTGGTTCCTGCTAACGTGGAGTGGGGGAATTTCCTTGAAACATGTTCCCATCCTCCCTTATAAATAAAATTACTGCAACGTATCAAAAGGCAGGCGAAAGCCGAGCGTCCTTCAGAAAGCAAGGAAACCTTGGAAGGGCGAATAAACTTTTTTGCAGCGGCAGATCGTCCACAAAAGAAGATTTCTCCCTGCGAGCGACTTCCCGAGGTCCTCTTTATTATGTCGTAAAACTGCAAGTGCATGCAGGACTGTAAAACCCCGCTAAGCAAACAGCAAAGTTCTCGCCCTGAAAAGCTTAAAGCCAAAGGCACGAGTGGAGGACAATGCGCTATAAGGCAGAGCAAACACGGCGGCAGCTTCATCTTTGTTAAGAGGACAAAAAAAAAACAAATAAAAAAAGAGAAAAAAGGTTTAACGTCACGGGAGACACGAGTAAGACGCGGGGAAAAAAAAAATAGGCAAAAGACACCAGCGCACGGGCGACTGTGGAGGTGCGAGGGGGGGAGAGGAAAGGGAAGCGAAACTAAAAGGAGGGTTTATGTTCCAGGTTTGTTTTTTGAGGGGGCGTTTTGGGGGAAA